GAACCAAGGATTCCTACTAAGGAAAAAAAGTGCCTGGATGTACACCATAATTTACTAAATCATTTTAGATTTCTGATAAGCTCTGGGCACTTTCAACTGATGGGAAACCATAATGTTTGTGCCAAGACAAATATTTTCCAGACATACCGGTATTTTAAAGGTAAATCTTAATTTGGCCCATAGTTTTTTTTAAATCTTTTTTATTTAATCTTACAATAGGAAAATTAATTCAAGAGAAATGTGGCATGGAGCAATTGTAAAGAGTTAGTTTTTCCTGAACCATATAATCTTCCAATCAAGATATAAACAACCTGTTTGGAATTCTGAAACTTGAGAATGAATTTAAAGAGATCTTCAGAAACTGTCTCCCTAATAATGCAAAAGATGGAGGTACTGGTAGAAAAAGTGTGGACATAAATTCTGAAGCTTTGAACTTATTTTTAAAGGTTCCTCAAAAAACAATTTAGAAACAATATGTGGGAAACATTTTGGAGGTAGCAATTTAAAAATTTGCATAGTAGGTTTTTTTTTTTTTTTTTTTTTTTAGATGGCTCATAAAGAAGAGTAAAAAGAAAGAGGTCTCCTTACTTCCTTTTCTAATGGGACAGAACAGAGATCTTTATTAAGGAAAAATTCTTTCTGGTCATTGCGTCCTGAATTTATCTGGCGTTTTTTTTTTTTTTTTTGAGACGGAGTTTCGCTCTTGTTACCCAGGCTGGAGTGCAATGGCGTGATCTCGGCTCACCGCAACCTCCGCCTCCTGGGTTCAAGCAATTCTCCTGCCTCAGCCTCCTGAGTAGCTGGGATTACAGGCACGCGCCACCATGCCCAGCTAATTTTTTGTATTTTTAGTAGAGACGGGGTTTCACCATGTTGACCAGGATGGTCTCGATCTCTCGACCTTGTGATCCACCCGCCTCGGCCTCCCATATCTGGCGTTTAATGAGTGTGATCAGTGTTCAGGGACAGAACTGAGTAGCCTTAAATTTGTTTCTTTTTCTTCGAAATTGTGTGTGAAACCTAGGCACCTGAGCTTCTCTCATACCCCAAGTTAAAAAAAGAAATCAGGTAAAATACCAGCCTTGTAGTAGAAATCGCTTACTAACGGTTTAAGGGGAGGCCAAAAAAAATCCACTTTACAACAAATGAAGATTTTATTTTAGGCTTTGAAGTACAAATTCAAAGGAATCTCTAGGAAAAACATGCATAAAAGAAACTCTGACATTATTCTTAAAAAGAAAATGTGACTGGAAGACATTCCGTAACCATATTGGATAAGTTCTAAGAAGTTCATTTACCAACTTCTTTATGCACAAAAAGAAATTTTCATAGCTTCCCTTGAACCACATGAAACATTGCTTTTAAGGAAACATACATGAAAGTGTAATGAAACCCTTCCACAGAGATTTGAGGTTTTAAATTATGTGAGGGGAGAGTAATACATTTTCTATTGATGTCCTCACGACCCCTGTCAACACATATTTTTTAAACATTTTAAACAGTAGGTTACTAAAATGGTGTATGTTTCTCAAGTTTTCTCAGTGTGAAATATTGAAATAAATCACATTATAGTTATTTATTAATCTCAGTTTCAGGTCAAATGTAGGAAAATGTTAGTGCTCTGTTCCCCATTTTTATAAGATTCTTGAGATTATGATTAAAATATGTGACCATCACAGTAGAAATAAGAACTTGTGGTGAATGTCTGTCTTGGGGGATCTATCAGGGAAGTCAAAGGAACAAAAGATAACTGGTCTCTGGCCTCCTGTATTCCTTCACGTCAGCCCCTGTAAGTACTGGGCTTCTGTGCTGAGCTCTGTGGCTAAAGGAGACACCCTCATTAGCTTCCTGTGTGTGACAATAGTGACACACAGCAAGACCCTGCAGGTGTCTTTCCTATTTGGGTCATGTTTTGGCATGTCTTAAGGCTACCGTGCCCTGGAATCTTTGAGGAACTATTTTTCTACTGCCCTAAAATATAGCCCTGCAGACAGGGTATCTTCTCCCGCCTTCAATAGATATACTTCAAGGTCTTAAAGTTAAATCCTGTCCTAAAGTATTTTCGAATGCAGCAATTGCCAAAAGTTGCTTCATGAGCGACATCATAGGCCAATTTTTGCTTATAGGAAGAACTTGTTTCTTCTCTTTTTTTGGATCTTCATAGCCCCGCCCCCCCATCCTCCATAAACAAAGTTATTGCTGCCTTCAAAGTTATGCAAACAAAAATGTATGGCAGGGGATTTTTTTTTTTCAAAGTGTATCACAAAAATGTACATATAGCTCATGGAAAAGTGTGCATGTTTTGAATAAAATTGTGCTCTGAGCTCATCAAGTATAACTGTACATAGAGCATTCCATTTCTCCCTTAAAGAGACATACCATTAACTGGATTTCAAGTAAGTATCTTCATGAAGGACACTCTTAATTTAAAGTTTGTTTTCCTTTTATTGAGTGCCACTGGATATCTTTCCACTCTGGACTGATATAGTTACAAAATTGCTTTTTCTAAGTTTCTGGTTTTTGATTAACACAACTTGTTCATAGTAAAGGATTTGCTTTGTGTGATTATTCCCTTCCATTAAAAAAATCACATTTTAAAATGTTTTTATGTTCATATCCATCTTCACCCATCAGGCTCACATATAAAAACATAATCCTGATTTGAAAGGGGTGTGTTTGGCACCAGCCTCTAACTTAAAGACCCTTTTCTTCTAATAGAGATGTCTAATTTGGGCTGAAATTACATAATTAATAAATTAGTATATCAATTGAAGTTCATGAATTGTCCAAGTATACACTGTAAAATCATCTATATAAGCTCAAAGGAAGGCAAAAAGAATCCACATAGATGGAAAACACATCCAGAAACTAATTTAAATGCAACTTAGTTAGGTTCAAGTTTTTAAAACAGCGAAATGAAGAAATTAACTGGCTGTAAACCATGCTGGGTAGAGCCCTAAAAGAACACACATTCTAGTGATTTTCCATCTTCCTGAAATTGTCAGTCCTATTAATGCTTTATTTTGTGACTTCACTTTCTCCAAATCCCCAACAAAACAGAACTAGGCTCTGCCACAAATCTTTTTTTTATAAAAGAATATGACTAATTTTTAGAAATTGTTAAGAAGGCATTTCACCATGTATCTCAAGAAAATGTAGGTTCCTAGGATGTCTTTCAAAATGTGAGCATTGCTGTGTTGCTTTGCTCACACAGGCCCACCTTCCCATGTGTGTGTACAGACAGTAACTCAAATGAAAGAGGGACAATAAAGTGAAAAACAGGATTTCTGGGGAGGGAAGGGAGATCCGTTCAAATGATCTGTTAAAATGGAGGAAGAGCAGATAATTGATAATCCACAGAAAGTGGATCTCTTTTTCTCTCTCTGTCTTTTGGGACTAACTGAAGATGGATCAATTTAGAGCTTTAGTTCAAGAAGATTTTGTGTAATCATAAGGATTACACAAACCTTTCCCACAGGTAATTATGGGATCCCTGTTTTGGGAATCTGAGTTGGGATGCTTTCTGGGAAGCAAAACTAGACCCCTCTCCGCTCCCTACTGCCTAACCTGCCTCTCAGATTCCTGCCTTGTTGGAACTCCTAGATCCAGGGTTCGATTGCCTGAATTAAGAGAGTTATTTTGCAGTTAGCACGAGGGCTTATAGTAAGGGTTTCGTTGCTATGTCTGCCCACTTCTCGTTCTCTTATTTGTACACTTTAATCTCCATAGGCTTCAGACTTCCTAAAATAAAACAGGACGGTTATGGAAATGTTGTGTAATTGTTGGACCCTGCATTTAAATACTTTGTAAGTAGGTGTGTCTAAGGTGGGGGGGTTCACCTGACATTAGATTTCTTTTGCAATTGCTTTGAACCCTGCCACAGAAGGGTATGCAGTTTAGAAGGATCAATTCCTCTCTCGTGTGGCAGTTTTCCAGCTGCAAAATTAATTATCCACTTACTTTCACCACGAGGTGCTGTAAGGGTCAGGGATCTTGAGTTTGTGAAACACTTCACCATGCTGATCTGAAAGTTGTTCTGTCACCGATTTTTTTTTTCCCCCAAGTTGTCTTACTCTCCAGGTATTTACAAAACTGAAGTTTTAAAGAACATGTTTGCATTTCAGACTTGTTTTTCCTTTTTATACTTCATATATATATATATATATATATATATATATATGTAAATGGTGGTTTAGAGAAGACATAAAATAATAGGTAATGGAGACTTTTACTTAGAGAATCATCTACAGATCATTTAATATGTACATTTAATCGGCACTTACTATGTGTCAAGCACTCACTGCTGTAGGTGCTGAGATGTAAAGATGAGTAGGTTCCTCCTCTCAAAGCTCTCACCAAAGCAAGGGATTTACCTAATGAATATGTAGTGGGACGGCTGAACAAAGTACCAGGGACCATCAGGGAGGGAGTAAGAATTTCTAATTAACAAAGAATGGCCAAGAGGAGGAAAGGGTTTTTCTTGAGAGGTAACACTATTAAAAAAAGATACAGTGGTCTCAAAGTACTGAAAACTAACTTGATTTGGATTCATTTATCCTTTTAAAAATATGCACAAGTGACTGTTTAAAAATCACACGTGAAACTTTCAGATATAATGTACGACTAGACTTTTTTCTATATGAACAGATACAGTTTCTCTCTTTTCATCCCTTTTCCCCCCTTCTTTGAAATTCCAGTCAAGATTTTATCACTGGGGACATGGTGTAATCTCTCTTTCTCTCTCTCTCCTTCCTTCTTTACTTTTTCCTCACCTTCTCGCTTCTTCTCCCTCCTCCTTTCCTTCTTCTGAAACCACAGTCAGATGTTATCATCAGGCATGATGTAATACCTCTGCTGCTTTGAATTGGGGTCACAGTCTCCTGCACAGCTCTTTAACAGAAGAAATAAAAATTGGACTGTCACGTTATTCTTTCAGCTGTAGGCTGCAATCTGGTTCTCTCTGCATTTTAACTTCTTCCCAATCTGACTATTTTTTTTAGGTAATGGGACTCCTGACCAACCACGGTGGGGTACCTCATCAGCCCCAGACTGATTACGCGCTCTCCCCTCTCACCGGGGGCCTGGAACCTACCACCACCGTGTCGGCCAGCTGCAGTCAGAGACTAGACCATATGAAGAGCTTGGACAGCCTGCCAACATCTCAGTCCTACTGTCCACCCACCTATAGCACCACAGGCTACAGTATGGACCCTGTCACGGGCTACCAATATGGGCAGTATGGACAAAGTAAGCCTTGGACTTTTTAGGGGGCAGTTACTCCTGGAAGGGAGAGAAACTCAACTCTTGCTTAAGAAAGGTGAATTCGAGGCATGGTTAAGTCTCACATGCCGGTATCAATTTTTTTTTTTTTTCAAAGCCAGCTGACTGTTCCAGCAAGGGCTTCCTTGTATAATTATTTTCTTAACTGATGTCAACAACATCTTGTGGTTATTAATTGTTGAGACGTGAAACCTGATTGCCACTAGGTAAAACACAAGGGTTGGCCAAAATGAAATAATCCCTGACATTAGAAACACATGTTCTTAATGAGGTCAACTCCAGGATCATATGGGGGATAATCCCAGGGACACAGAGTTGTGTCAAACTTGTCTCAGGAATAAAAATATTAGTCTCAAGCCTTTGATACCACGGTATTAAATATGACATTGTCAGCCTGTAGCTGATCTTGCCCAACTGTGAATTGTCCCAGCATGATCTAAAAAGCTGCGTGTGTTTCCTTACAGGTGCCTTTCATTATCTCAAGCCAGATATCGCATAAGTGAACTGTCCACTTGGAGGTAAAACTGGCCCTGTTTCTGGTCTTCGCAGCCTAGACATGAAGAATCTGCTCAGAAAACAAAAAAAATTATCTTTTTGTTGGGGGGAGTCCCAATAAGAGACAAAGGAGAGTGATCGATTTTCTTTCTCCAGTAGTTGGTTTCAAATTCTTTTGAACATGTTGGCCAAAAGCCGTGGAGAAGAGGAAGACCGGGAGCAATAAAAGACAAATGCAACATTTTAAGGCAGTGGTTTCACCTGCTTACATATCAAAATATCCCAGTTCTTTAGTGCTGATCAGCAAGGAGCTAGGACATTCCATTTGCTTGTTTGCGAGCATGCATGTGTGTGTGTGTGTGTGTGTGCGCATGCGTGTGTGTGTGCGTGCGTGCGTGTGTGTGTGTGTGTGTGTGTATGTGTGTGTACTGAGATTTACCGGGACGGGTTTGGGCAAGGAGACTGTTCTAAAATATAATAGGAGAATACTTTAAAGTACAACTTGTTGATGTTTGATGCTGACACTTCTACAACTTTGAAACTGCTCACTTCATGAAGCAAGAACAGAAGAAGCCTTGATTCTCACACACTGGAAATTGATATAAAAGTAACCATTTTTAGGAAGCTAGGCTAGCTGTAAAGGACCTCCTAAATAAATTATTTGTTACTGTATCCTCATTTTAATCTAGTTGTCAGTAAATGTCCCGGCCACATCTTGCTAACAGGAGATGGGCTACCAGAAGGAAAAGCTTGTTTCCTTTTCTGGTTCAGGGAGAGGTGTCTGACATTCTTCCAGTTCATATTTATTTGGTAGCCCACCTGGGTTGGAGGAAGGGCATGGTGGAGAGCAAGTGACATGCGTTCACATATCTGCTTATCAGTGTGCAATACTGTGTACCTCATGGATGCTTTGGCAATAGCCAAGGTGATAAAAACAAAATCAGAACTATATTTTTGCAGGTGCTTTTATTTTCACAGCCCATAATTCATAGTGATTGAGTACAGTGATGTTTGCCATTTACCAGACAACCAACACCCGGCTTTCTCCTTTTTATTAGAGACCAGATCAGATAATTATGCTTTTAAACTGATTACGTTTACATTCTTCTCTTTTCTATGAAAGGCAGGGCAAGAACAGAAATGTTCACATGGCTCTCATGTATTTTTAAATTATACAGTGATATCCAATATTAAAAGATTATAGGAACTGAGGTTTACATACGTTTGTGTGGTGACATTTTAGAATGTCAATAAATTTGTCTTTTGAAATGTTGGGGGAACAAGAAGGTGGAAGGCAGTGTTATTTATTTCTTTCTATTCTTGGAACCATGAATGAGGTAGGCACAGATACATTCCTTTCAGAGTTAAGAACTATGATGTAGTGAGTTAGTGAGACTAGACGTAGTACAGAGTTTAGTTCATGCATTCGTCTTAGGGGTGATGGAACAAGAGAAGTACTATCTTTGTGTTGCAGCCTCAACCAACAACAATCTGTTGTAAAAATGTCTTTCATGTAAAAAGCGCAGTAAATATTTACTATTTATAATGAATAAACAGTTATGAAAACTTGCCCAATACTGCTTTTTGGGGGGAACTGGTGAATGTAGTATAAATGAAACTTGGCAATGGGGAGCCTAATGTACATGCACTTCACTGCTAATGGAACCTTCCTATGAGAATATACTGTAGACAAAAAAGGTTACACAACCCACAGCTGTATTCGCTTGAAGAAGCTTGGTTGAACGCACTTTTGAGGATTGAAGTTGATATTTTTATCAGTGTAGCATCTAGAAAACCTCTTCAGTTTAGCCTCTCTCATGTCTCTTTGGTTCTCTGAGAGTTGTCCAATCCCTTTACTGTCTGTTAGAAGTTTTCTCTGGAGTACCAGACTCCATCTTCGTCTCTAAGTCATCTGTCTCCACAGAAACTTTTGTTTAAAATGCTCATGTTTTATTTATTTTATTTTAGCAGCCTACTTTATTCTTCATGGAAGATATTATTGTCTACTTCATTCGTTCTTCCTTTCTTCCTTCTCCTTCCCTCCCTCTCCTCATCCCTTCTGTCTCTCCCTTCTTCCTGAAAGTAAATAATGAGAGTCCAAATGTGCCAGGCATGGTGATTGGCACTTGCATTATAGCAGTACTTGTAGCCTAGTAAAGAAGGCAGAGGAAATGTATAGTTTCAATAAAGTGTGAGGACTGTTATTGTAGAAGGAATAATCATAAACCCTTTGAAGCTCTTACTTGTATTAACTTATTTATTACTCTCCACATCTCACATGCAGCAAGTGATGTCATTAGCATTTCTCTTGTATGGGTGAGAAAACTGAGGCTCAGTGAACTTCCATGAATCACTCAGTGGCAGAGCTAGGATATGAACCTAGTACAGTCTCAGTGCCTGAGGTGTTTAAATTCATGCTTCCTCAAGACTGGCGTGAGAGAACTTTACAGTCAGGAAGATCTAAATGGGTGCTGTCCAATTCAGAAGCCACTAGCCATGTATCCCTATTTAAATTTAAAGCAAAAATACATGAAATAACAAAATTAGTTCTTAAGTTGCGCTAGCCACATTTCAGGTGTGCAATTGCCACATAGGACCAGAAGCTGCCATACTGGGCATCATTGCTGTGGAACATCCCACATCACAGGAAAGTTCCACTGGTCAGCTGACCAAATGCATGTGAGTTCATAGTTTAACAATATCGAAAACTTGAAGTGCAGTAGGTAACAATTTTCCAAAGTTGTAAAATGCTTTAGTGTTTTTTTTTTTTTCTCACACACTTATCCTTCTGATCAAATACATTGCTCGTCTTCTGACAAGTATTCCAAAAATAATATAAGAGGAAAGGAAGGTAATCTTTACAGCACACTCACTTTAGTTGTCTTGTTTAATCCTTGCGAGGTCACATAAGGTGGGCATTATTAGCCCCAATTTATGCATGAATGGACTGAGGCCAAAGTTGTTAAGCAGTTGGGCCAACATCACATATAGCCAGAAATAGCAGAAGAAGGCTCTGACTTCTGTGCAACCACGTGGCAGAACCTGTTCGTTACATTTGCCTCTCCAAATGCTGCTTGCAATACCCACTTAATTATATCAATCTATCCTCATGTCAAACTCAAGTTGCAAACAGGCATTTAAAAAGTTCATTCACTCCCAATACATGAGATAAATGCTGCTGGGATTCAGATTACACGGAGAAGCTGATTTTACATGATCAGTTTTCCTTTCTGTTGATTGATCTCAGGACTTTCCATGAATGGTTCATATCTTTTTTTGACATACTTCTTTGTGTCCTTTTCTTATTTCTGCATGTCTTTGAAATCTATTGCTCTCCTATTACTTCTTATGTTGAAAGTCCCGGTAGATCTCTTTTTTCCTCCAGACTCTTAAAATATCTAATCATTCTCTGGGGAAATGCAACCTGATTTCTTTCAATCAGTGTTCCTATGCTCATTTGCTGGGACAAGTAGCTCTAAGAACTTTGAACCTTTGACATTCAACAGAACTTGAACCTGATTGTATGTGGGGGGTTACCCCTTGTCCATATAGTTATTTGATTTCATCTGAAAAATTAAAAGTAAAAACAAAATTAAAACTCAAATTATTAAATTGTGGATGTACCATTGTCAGGTACATCCTGAGCCATTCCTTCGCAGCAATTTTTCTAGGAATAGATATCATACATTTCACATCTGTGATGGAAACAAGCATATTGTTTCATGCCTTTAATTTAGCCCAGTCTGGAAATGTATTTTCATGCACACTTGGATGTTTGGGAAACATCCTAGGTTAGAAGTGATCTTCATTAGTGCTGGCATATAAAACCAGAGTAAAACACAAGATCACTGGCTCATGGATGTAAATTTAGGAAGCTTTAAGTAGAGATGGAGATGGATTAATTAATGCCTTTTATCAGAATACAGCATGGAAGAATCTATCTGCAAACTACTTAATTAAGAGTTAAAATTAATACACAGGACCAGAACAGAAGTATCTGTAAGAAGGAAATTCATTTACCTGACCTCAAACATTCCGAGTGAATGAGTCTTGGTGGTAAGTCATTCATGAATAAGGAAAGCTGCTGTCAAAGATGGTGGAGCACAGTAAGTGATGAGTGGCAGTACTTGTGCAACAAGTTCCATGTGGCCAGCCTCAGCCTCAGACAAGTGCTCATTGAGCTGGAAGTCAGTGGTAGAGGATGCATGAGAGAAAAGGAAGAAAACAGAGCTGGGTACAGGGCTTCTCATCAGATGCCAGTGATATGAGCTAGTTCTCCCTTGTCCATAGACCCCACTTCAGAATTGCTGACCGTGGCATTCTAAGTGCCTAGCACCATGTCTGACCCATTTCAGGTACTCAGTACATGTCTGTTGAATAAATAAATAAATAAATGGACGAAGAGTGATTTTCTTATGTTGTCCCTATCTGATCTACTGAGCAGGGAGACATTTGCGTGACCAAAGATGGACAGATTGCCTTGAGGTTAGATTGGCGCAAAGTCTTAGGGAAGGAGTGAGAGGCAGGGAGCCTAACAAATCACTCAAAAACCCTATTTCTGATGATCTTGACTGTAGCAGAGGACAAAGTAGTGATTTGTGGGATTCACCACTGGGAGGATTAGATCAGAAAAGGGAAATAACTAGATGGTTTATTGCTTAGAAAAGTGGCTATTAGCCCTGGCTGTATAGTAATCTGCAGAGAGAGAGAGAGAGAGAGAGAGAGCGAGAGCAAGAGCGAGAGCGAGAGAGAGAGAGAGAGAGAGAGAAAGAGAGACCATTCAGACCATGGAATTCAGAATCCATGAGGACAAATACCAGGTAAGTTGACAGAGCAGGAGCTCGGGTAGAAAGAAGGCTCTGGCTGGATTGCAACCTGGCCACATCAGACCAGGCAACTTTTCTGGGACTTGAAGCAGTGGTCAGGGCTGTTCATCACAGCACACCTAAGATAGGAAATATGGACACAGCTTAGCCTTATCTCTCAACAAACCTGACCACTCCCTCTCAAGCCAGACAGTGAGACATAGAACGATAGGAGTTTCAGTCATGGTGCATGAGGAAGAGAGGTGGAACTAGGAGGGTGAGTCAGCCAAGTTGGTTAGTGTTGTGTTATGAGCCCATCATTTTCCCATCTGGAGGCCTATAAAGCCCCACTATGCACAAATGAGGAGTGCTTCAGCCCTTCCCCAAGAGCTGTGGCGACATCTTGTCCCCCAGGCTCATG